CCATTCAAAGCACGTCAAAGACCCCTTTATCTCGAACAGCGACGCCACATGTGATGCTCTCCACAGCCGGCTGGCCAAGCACATTCGTAGAACAAATGTGTTAGTGTTTCACTAAGGTTGCAGAATGGACATGCATTACCCCGCTTCTGGCTCTTCTCCGCTACTCGAGATCCGGTGGCCAAAGATTCCCTAGCAAATTGATAGACCGTTAATTACACATGTTTTTATCCCCGTTCTTACACCGTTTGAGGTGTTGATTCTCGTGTTTTAGGCCGATTTCACGCTAGGTTGTGCTTGTTTGTGATATTTCAGGTCCTAGTACGTGAATGGAGGCTTGGGAGCGAGTTTGGGGTCGATTGGACGAAGATCGGACGCATGGCGGGGTTCCAAGGAAGCCACACGGGCAGTCCTGGGTGTCACACGGCCGTGCAAGTTGCAATTGTGGCCGTGTGATTCTCGCCGAGAGCAAACACGGGCAACTCAGGAAATCCACACGGTCGTGCAACCCTGGCCGTGTGAGATGGCTGAAGATCGACTTAATGATACGCCGCGTTTCAATCCGCACGGCCAAATGGGTGAGCCACACGGCCGTGTGGCCTGCCCGTGTGAGTCGGGAAACTCTGGTTTTTGAGCCAATTTCGAGCCAAAAGTGGGAGAATCGGATTTTCAGAGCAAAAACAGAGCCCTAGAGAGAGAAAGTACGAAGAACACATCCTAGAAGCTATCTTGTAGCTGGGTTTCATCGAATCGAGCTTAGAGATCGTCATAGGAGTGGAAATCATCATCCCGGAGCAGATTTTCCTCATCATTATGAGTATGACTACTCCGATTACTGTTTTTACTTCTCTCTCTATGGAGTAGAACCCTTCTCTCACTTGGGTATGAAGAACCCTAGTTCCTTGTGTTAGGGATTTGATTGTAATAAGTTGGGATGATTATACTGTTTGATTTTAATCGAATGATGCATGTTTATTGAATTGATTGAAGTCTGATCAGCTTTTCTTGATTTCTGCTGCAACCTGAGATAGATAGAATCTGATTAGGTTGTTAGAGCCTCTTCATTCGATAGTAGGAGATTGGCTATACGAGAGTTAGCCAGTTTACTGCTTTGTACTGGAATTCAATTCCAGTAGTGGAGTTCTGTGCTTATTGCTTCAGCTTTCTATCCCGGTGAAGACTAGTCGTCTGCCGGGTAGTTAGACTGAGAGGGCTTGGTCAGCTTAAGAGATTCCAAGCTACTGTCGGATCTTCCGCAGTCTAATCAACAGTGAATCAACCCAGGGGAATTACAATTGAACCTAACTAATGGGCTAGGGGGACTCATTCCCGAGTGACTCTTTCCTGACTTTGAAAACCGAACAATTTCCTGCTTTCTTACTGCTTTTGCTTTAAACAACAATCAATCGAATTAGTTGGCTAGATAATAGATAATCACGGAGTAAGCGGTAGATCTAGACCCCGGGTTGATAATAGAACTTGCCTGTTACTGCATTCCCGGACTGCGATTACACTTGGTCGCAGTTTGGTGTTGTGTTTTGGCGTGTCACAAATCTTCACATAAAAATATGCACCTTAGGCGGCACATTCATCGACCACAGTTTTTTCCACATGGCCGAGTCCCCCACCATCGGCAGACCCTTTGTTTCACGTACATCCTCCACCATTTCCTGTAGCCTTCCTTCGTCGTATATCTCCCGTCTCTACTAGATGCCCAGATTATCTTGTCCACCTCGTCCACGTTCCGTAGAGGGATTTGACGTATCACATAAGCCATGTCTCGAGTGAAGCAGCTATCGATGAGGGTGTTATCCCACTGATTAGTGGTTTCGTCAATTAACTCCCTCACCGTCGAGTCCACCTCCTAACCCATAGGCACCGACTGCACAATGTATCCTAGGTCATAGGCAACCAAAGATCCCCCCAAATTCGAACCAAAGAACCGTTCCTGATCCGCCATCTCATTCCACTAACCAAAAATTCACGAGCACTCATGAGACTACGCCAAACATAACTCGGCTTGTACCCAACACTTGCATCCATCACTAAAGTATTCTTATGATACTTTGCTCAGAGGAGTCAAGCAATCAACAATCCTGACCCCTGATATAAGCTCCAAAGCTGGCACGCTAGGAGTTACTGATTAAAACCTCGGAGGTCCCGGAAACCCATTCCCCGCTCAGATTTTGAGGAGATCAAAGATTCACGCACCACCCATGGTATTTTCTACTCATCTCCCTTCTGTCCCCATCAGAATCTGGTGATCATCCCATGGATATCGTCAATAATCCCATCTGGTACCTTAAACACTGACATAGAGTAGGTCAGTTGTGCCTACACGACCAACTTAATTAAAACTTCCCTCGTCGCTACTGACTTAACTCTCTCCTTCCACCCTGCAAGCTTCTTACAGAAACGTTCTTTCAAATATACAAATAACTTCTTCTTAGACTGACCCACCTCTGTTACCAATCCCAAATATTTATCATGCTTCTCCAGTGCCTTCATACCCAAAATTGAGCTAAGCTGTAACCACTAATGTGGTTTTACCTTGGAGCCAAAACTTACTTCTAACTTTTCAAAACTCGCCAATTGGCCTGATTCCCTCTCATAGTCCGTGAATATCTTTCAGAGGTATTTTCTTTCCTGTACTGTGGCCCTAGCAAAAAAGATAGAGTCGTCAGCGAAAAACAGGTGGGATACCACGAGGGCTCTCCTTCCCACTAACAGTCCATGGATATGCCTCTCCGCCACCGCCTTCGACGTGTAAGTCGACAAACCCTCCGCCAACAATAGAAACAACTATGGTGATAGAGGGTCAGCTGTCTTAGTTCACGGCTCGGAACAATCACATCTGACTTGGGCCCATTCACCATAACTGCATAAGGAACTGATTGGACACATAACATAATCATCCAAATCTAGCGCTTTGCAAAACCCAACTGCCACATTATCTCCTTGAGAAACCACCACCTGACCCTATTGTAGGCTTTAGCCATGTCTGTCTTTGCTTCAAAGTACGCCGTATTGGCCTTTGTCTTCTTCTTCGTGTATGGAAGCATTTAAAGGAAGCCATGACATTGTCTGCGATGAATCTTCCCGGAACAAAAGCATTATGCTCCTGTGAGATAATCCCACCAAGAAGTCCCTTCAACCGGTTCGCCAAAGCCTTCAATAAAATCTTGTAGAGGATGTTGCATAAACTAATCGGAGGAAACTCCTTTGCCATTGTCGGGTCTTTTGTCTTCGGGATCATGAAAATTAAGGTATGGTTAAGTCCCTGTGGCATAGACTCAGTTTCGAGTTTCGAAAAGGTGCACGATCAAATTTGTAACTTCATCGCCTACTATATGCCAATATCTCGAGAAAAATAACACTGAAAACCATCATCATCTGGCGCCTTCCCCTTACCCATCTGGGGTAGAGCAGAATACAACTCATCCCTCAAAAGAGGACGAGACAGCGCCTTGTTATCCCTTGAGCTTACTCTCCGCTCGATGGCGTTAAGAACGAGGGTTTGCATGGGTCTCTCACCTTGCATGAAACAACGTAGCAAAATAATGGGTTAGACACAAACCATAGCCTCTCCCTTCCAAGCTTCATCAATAACACGCTCACAATCTTAGTGTTTTGCCCACAAAGCCTCAAAGCGAAACGACTAACCCCATTTCACCTCTTCATCCTCTTCTCCCAACTAATCAAATATGAACGGGCCGATTTTGTTCCAGGTGGGTGACGCGCGCATTACTATACATCATTCGCCAACTTTCATTTTCCACTAAAATGATCAAGTCTTTCTTCAATGAAACCTCCCTGTTGTCTCCTATTCTCCCACATAAACGGGTAGCCTTGGAAACCAATATCTTGCAAGCCCACTTTTGTGAGGTAGTGTGAGAAAGCGGCCATCTCAGTCTCTCTCGCCAGATTTCCTCCTTTCTTCTCATGATCCCCTACAATTTGATTGAAGTCTCCACCATAGATCCATGCCCCCCCCCCCCCCCCCCCCATTGCGCCGCTAAAATGTCTCAAGAGCGCCCATGTATGGTATGTATCCCGCCCTTCTGACCACCCATAGACTCCTTGTAAATCGCCAAACTATTTCTTGTGTCTCTTCAATCTTCACATCAATATAATGAGCATCCTGATCCATACATGTCAAGTTAACATCGTCATGCAACCACATACTCAAACCGCTTGCCCTACTACCTCTTGAAACATCACATGACCAACTCTTACCTTTGGAAAATCCAAGTTACATCTCGTTTCCTCATTTTCCACTTCCAGTTGTCGCGTCTCCATAAGGAAAATCACCTAGGGGGAAGCCTGACACAGAAGCGACTTCAGTGCTCTCACTGCTTGTGTGCTTCCAAGATCACGATAGTTATAGCTGATGATCCTCATTTATTCCCAGAAGGGATAAATTCCCCACACCTTCAGCCAATTGGTTTTTCTTAATTCCCACGCCTTCTTTTTTCTTAGCTTTACCCCACTTACCTCATCATTATCTTGTAGTGTTTTCTTACCTCCTCCTGGGATGTGCTTGGCGTTATGGGAGTTGGTATGTCCCCATGCATCGCAATAGGTCCCCCCATACCCCGCTCCCCGTCCTCCTTATCAACTGCATTATCTAGCTCCTTTTCCACTTCTTTCACACCCTCCTCCTTCCCATCCTCTGCTAGCGCCTTAAATCGGTTCTGATTCCCCATTTTCTTGTCCTCTTTTGTCCACTCATATCCCAACGCTGCGGATATCTTTCCCGTCTCTTAACCACCATCCATTCCCCATATATTTGACCATTTGTCAGATCCACCGGTGTTACTTGCAACTCCTCTTCAATTTCTTCTTCCACCATTTGGTCACGAGGGTAGCACTAGCAGTCTGAAGCCACTTTACCATAATTCGCACAGTTCGTGCAAATATTGTACAATCCCTCATATTGGATTAAATAGGTGATACCCTCCACTTTATACTGTGACAACAAGATTTGCTTTAAATCCACTTCTACCACATACCCTTGCAAACTTTCCTCTTACCCCCAGTTTGGTAGCTCTGTCCACCCGTACCGGCTTCCCAATTGTCACCGCAATTCTCATAACAGCTTCTGTATTAATAAACTCGATTGGCAGATTTGGGAGCTGGACCCACACCATAGTGGAGTTAACCACTGTTTTCCACGGGTTAAAACAAGCGATGAATTGTCAGGTATGTATCCCCTAACATCCATGGCCCTCCCATAGTAGCATACTCCTAGTCCTTCTGATTCCGAAACTGAACCAGGAAACAACCATTCCTCAGGTTAGATATTTGTATCTCGCCATTCCTTGCCCACACAGAGTTCAATCTACGTGAGAGAGGAATAAACGAGGCACACCTGCCAAGCCCCTTCACAACAAGGAAGGGTTGATCGCCACTCCATCCTCCATCAGATCTTCTCTGCCGCTATGAATACGATGGGGGCACTTTGGGTCTTAATTATCTTCATCAAGGGTATCATCCTCTTCTTTCTCCGCCTGTGCTACATCTTCCGAATCAGAGTCGGCAATATGCCTGTTATCCTCCTATAGCACCTCGCTAAACCTACGACCCATTCCCGCCTTCCAGGTCGTATACTCTTGCGAGCTCTTTCCATCAGTTTCCATCTCTGTCGTCGAACTATTCTCGACCTCCACAGGGTTGCTGCCAAAAATAAGGGGTCGTACCTTCTTCCTTGGCTGAGTAGTTTCCTTCGCACTCTTACCATCTAAGGAAGACAAGTTGTCAGCCAGACGCCACTTGTATTCGGGGGCTTGCCACTCAATGTCGTCGTCATCGATAGGGAATCAGAGATCTAGGGTTTTTTCTTGAGTTTTTTCGTCGCCCGAGAAGTTCGTGATTTACAAATTGTCTAATATGCACAAGTTAATCTCACATAAAATTCAAAAATTGTTTATACCATAAAATAATATTGGACTTTGCTACGGTGACATGCATGTCACGGTGACATGCACTTTTCGGTCGACCTCATATAGGATCAGGTCGACCTAATCAGTTGTTTCAGTGTACAAAGAGTTTCATGGTGCCTACTTTGGAGATTCATATCTTACAATTGGCTAGATGGAAATTGGAGATTAAAGGCTTGTTTTGAAGCTGAAGTGTCCCTCTACACATTAAAGTACTTGGGAGCACAATAGAAAGTCCAGAAGACCATTTTTGAACCTGACCAAAAGGCTATGCCAAAACTGGGAAACTGCCTGAAAATGGCTAAGTCTGGCAACGTGTTTGTCAAGCCTACTTTGGAGCTCAATTTGACAAGCATGGGTGCGAGTCAAGTCCAGGGGCCTTTACCACGTTAAATTAAGTATTTTTTTATACAAAGGCAAGGCATTGAATGAAAGATTGAATATCTTTAAGGCTTCAAACAAAAGGCTCGAAGTTGCTACGAAGGCTGTTTTTCTGGCAGCTTGCTTGTGCTCGAAGTCTGCCAGAAAAACAGCCTTCGTAGCAACTTCGACCCTTTTGTTTGAAGCCTTAAAGATATCCAATCTTTCATCCAATTTCTTGAATTTGTATAAAAAAAATACCTAATTTAACGTGGTAGAGGCTCCTGGACTCGACTCGCATTCATGCTTCTCGAATTGAGCTCAAAAATAGGCTTCACAAACACGTTTCCAGACTTAGCCATTTCTAGGCAGTTTCCCAGTTTTGGCATAGCCTTTTGATGAGGTTCAAAAATGGTCTTCTGGACTTCCTATCGAGCTCTCAATCACTTCAATATGTAGAGGGACACTCCAGCTTCAAAACAAGTCATTAGTCTTCAATTTCCATCTAGCCAATTGTATGATATGAATATCCAAAGTAGGCACCATGAACTGTTTTTACACTGAAACAACATATTAGGTCGACCGGATCCTATATGAGGTCGACCGAATCCTAAATGAGGTCGACCGGATCCTATATGAGGTCGACCGGATCCTATATGAGGTCGACCGAATTCTATTTGAGGTCGACCTAATCCTAACTGAGGTCGACCGGAAAGTGCAAGTCACCGTGACATGCATGTCACCGTAGGCACACCCAATAATATTTGGGTAATGAACGAAATAACACAAATATCTTTTGAAAATTGTATACTGTTGGTTCTGTTTTCAAATTATTTCATTTTAAAAAATAGGGTTAATATATTTGTATGGCCTGAACTTTGCACATAATAAACATCATATCAAATATTTTCGATCTAGAACATCCTGTTCCAAATTATACATAAAAGTAACGAAATCGGCCAAATCGATGTTTGACAGTTATCTTGGACAGTCAAACGCGTTGACTAACGGTCAATGTGCCATGTCACTGCCAAGACACCAACTTTCACTAAATGTTTTTTGTATTTTCCACATATTACCATTTTTATTTTTCATTTTGAACAAAAGAAGAAGAAAAAGTAATTTCATTTTGAACCAAGAAAAAAAAATGGTAATAGGTGGAAAATATAAAAAAAAATTGGGTAAATGCCACATTTGATCACTGAGATTACTAAATTTTGTCATGTTTAATCACTAGAAAAATTTAATATCAATTTTGGTCACTCGAATTACTGACACATGTCACATTTAGTCATTCTCTTGTTAGCCTCCATCCAACTCCGGTCACTCGAGTTATTGAAACATGTTATATTTAGTCACTCAAATTACTGAAACAGGTCACATTTAGTCACTCTCCCATTAGTTTCTGTCCAACTCCACGAGAGAGTGACTAAATGTGACCTGTTTTAGTAATTCGAGTGACCAAAATTGATATTAAATTTTTTTAGTGACTAAATATGACACAATTTAGTAATCTCAGTTACCAAATGTAACATTTACCGCGTTGACAGTTAGTAAGGGATGACAGTTAGTAAGGGAAAACAGCAGGTGGGGCACTACCCAAATGGCCTGAAAGCTTAACTGTAATCCCTGCTAGAATCAGGAATGGGAACCCTTGAAGGAACCACTCCAGACAAGTTTAACGAGTACACAGAGCTATGGCAGAAACGGCCAGGATACTACAAGAGGGTCAACCAACAGCTTGCCCAGCCCGGGCCGTACAGGAAATTACAGGAAATGTGTAATTTGTTTCTGCATCTACAAACGTAAAAGACAGTTGCAGTCCCCAACTTTCACGTTTGAAATTCTGTAATTTCTAAACCCATCAAGTCTCATGTTGCAAAAGGAAACAAACCACAGCAAAATTCAAAAGGAAAGGACCAAGTGGGATGGATTGTACCATACACTACAGCAATCTATTCACCCACTGGCGGCTATACTCCTCTCAATCGCCTCATGATCAACTGTGATGTTCGAAGCAGTAAAGCGTGAAGGCTAAATGAACTCCAAGAACAAGGCTTCTTGTTTACTGTTCAGACCAGCTTCATACAAACTCAATGAGCCATCTTCCACAGAGAAAGCACGCCTAGGATATGGTCTCACCTATTCAACAATTAAAGTCCATCCAGCACAAGTGCGGAGTTCAGTCATCATTGACAGCCATTGAAACTAAAGAAAATGAACGCAAATTATATGAAGGCCTTAACAGATAACCACTTACCACTCTGTACGTTCCAGGCTTAACAGCTCTGCCAACGTCAATGAAGTCAAACACACACTAGAAAGGAAAGGAGGCAAATCAGTTGAGTCAAAGATAGAGATACGGATGTATACACAGAAAAGTCTTTTGAAGATTCAGGCACATTACTTTCAGCTTGTCGGATTTGAGAAAGCGGCGGCCATGGCGACTACCATCTGGCATGCGCAGGAGCAGAGTCACTGCATTCTCCTCGTCCACAAGCGGCTCTTCAGGAAGCAATGCTTCTTTTGCAGCAAGCAGCCTCTCCTTTCCCTGATATATATAATGATGCATGGTAGATGATTTTTAGACTTTAGTCCATCTTCCGGATGCAGAAATGACAATGGTTTGGCTATGAAACTGCAAGGGTTTTTTTGTTTGTTTGTTTTACAAACTCTCTCCCCCTATTTTCTTGTTCCACATTTTCTTGGATAACTTGCATTTTTGCCTCAGTGATTTCATTGACGGTCTTTTTTTATCAAATAAGACCAAATTAGATATATTTTAGCAGGTCTTTCGATTTCCCTATATGCAATCCCAATGTCATTAAGTTGTACGGTTTTATTGCAGTAAACAGACATCAAAACTAAATTAAAGAAACATACCACGTCATCAAGCATTGTACTTTGGGAGCTTCCTTCTTCAATTGGACTAGATACTTCAGCTTTCTTTGATACTGCCACCTCCTTTTCCTTATCAGCCAGGAGAGAAGCCAGATACTCGTTATCCTGACAATAACATTACACCAATTCCATAACAATAAGATTATTGAGAGATTAATAGTATGCACAACATGAAAGTCTTTAACATGATGAATAACCTGTTCCTCTCGAAGTGACTGCCGTTCCTTCCGCAAGTCAGATAAGGGATTTTGTGCACTTTTTGAACTGACAGATACACTACTTCTGTCCTCAGAAGTGGGCACAACTGATGCTTGTTTATGGGAACTTCCTCTATAATTTTGACCAAAAATTGCCGTCTCGAGAAGAATAGCTTCATCAAGCTCCTCAGAAGACATGGCACTCCACTTCACTGGGAAGTGTATTAATTAGTAAAAACATAAATAAGAAGGTTCTTTCTTTCATAGTCAATCGGCCAACTAAAAAACAAGCAGTTTGTGTTGGTTTTTCAACCCACCAATTGTTCGTCAACAACTTTCTCTCTTGAGCTCGAGCTCCCATCCTTCACCAAGACACAAGAAGAATTATAAGAAAAAAGTACTAAGTAATTCTAACCTCTCCCATGTATGAACCGATAATCATTTGATTAGTATGTTTACAAGCAAATTGCTGAACTTTATCCATAAATAGCACTGTTTAAAAAAAATTTCCAAAAATAGCACCCAGTCCCGAAAAATTCCAAAATATAGCACCCTTTTTCGAAAATTGCAGGTTGGGGGAGCGGTTTACGAAGAAAACCACACGGATAGGGGGCGGTTTTGCTGACCCCATGGGGCCGGAGCGGTTTGAGTGCAAACCGCATCCCCGGGTGCAAAGTTAAGTTCGTTTGAAGTTTCGGTCGAGGTTAGAAGTTGATCGGAAAAAAAAAAATTTGGACCAAACCGCAGGGTTGTGTAGCAGTTTGGGGCCAAACCGCTCCCACCCCGAGCGGTTTTCAAAACAGCCCTTTAACCATGCTGTTTTCATCGAAAACCGCACCCCCACCTAACGGTTTTCTTGTAAACCGCGGGGTGGGGTAGCTGTTTTCGCAAAATAGTGCTATTTTTGAAATTTTTCAGGACTAGGTGCAATTTTTGATTTTTTTTTTTTAAACATTGCTATTTCTGGAAAAAAAACCCCTGGTAACATCATGCTGTTTTACTCGGTATCATAACCCACCTGCCAGCTATGGCTACTTCCGGCCCTTTCACTTAGATCATGAGCTCGAACCTGGTCTTTTGCCACTAGCTCACGCATAGCCTTCTCTTCTTCTGCAGTCTAAGGAAAGGTTGTAGTACATGGATCAGGAAATAGATACACAGAAAATGCGAATGTGAAACCACAATAAGGACACACAACCTTCATTGAAAAAGATACTGCACGAGCAAGCTCCTCGTCTTCTAAATGAAGTTCACCCTGAACAACCCCTGCTCTGGATGAGGTTTGGATCTATATGGAGTGCATTGGCGAAAAGAAGGCCATAAGCGGAAACAAAGGTAAGAAGAAGAAGAAGAAGAAGAAGAAGAAGAAGAAGAAGAGAGAGAGAGAGAAAAGACAACATTAGGGTTCTAAAATGCATTGCAATGGAGCTATTTCATATAATACTAAGACTCTCCCTTACATCCTGTTTTGAAGCCTCAATTGCACGCCTGAGCATTTCTTCTTCCACGTTGTTATCACTAGGATGTGGTTCGTCATATCTCGACATAGTTCCATAAGGATGGACATGATTAGATAGTGAAGCTCCATATGCATCCTGCATTGCAGGCCTTGCTCCTGATTGATAAGGCGGCGGCTCATAACCGCTGGCATAAGGTATTGTGGGAGCTGTTGATGGTCTACCGCTGTTGAAGACAGAAGCACCAAGTTGGTTCCAGAGATTCCTCCTATAGCTCGGGTCAAGCAGCAACGATGGCCTAAAACTTCGAACAGCAGAAATAACTGGTGAAATGCCTCGTGGCTCATTTGGTACTTGATTTATAGGATTTACAGAACTGTACAGAGGGAGAGTGCTGGGTACTGCATTCGTGCTGCGAAGGCCAAGCAAAGACCAAAGTTCTTGATAAGCCGCAAGTAGCATTGGAAAAAAGAAACGGAAGTGAGTAAGTAACGTCCAGGTAAAGAAAAGATCATACTTGCAGCTCTCTATTCCGCTGAAATGCGCATTCAGAGCTTCGTCCAGATTGCCTCCGTGTTCCTGATAATAAATTAAACAATTCGGGAACTCCAAAAACATTATGCATTGACCCAGGACGCAAATACTCACATCTTCCCCAAAAGCCAGGTGCTTAATAGCACATGCATCACTTGTAATTCAAGGGAAAGAACGAAGAATGAAAAGGGAAAAGTGCCCAACGTCGAACGGAAGATGAGCATAGGAGAGAAAACCCTAAATCAGAAACTAGCACGTTGCAATCGACAATCCACACGCAGTTAAGACCTATAATAAGTTCATAATGCAGCTAGCGTGCATACAATTTATCATTCAGAATCGAAGTGCTGAATCGTGAAAACCAGATCCACCGACTGAAAGAAGGAAAGTACTGATGAGGGAAATGTACCTCGAGTTTCCGCACGGCGAGTGAGTGGGACGCACCAGTGATTCCGACGAAGGACTCGATCGCATCTGGAGTGGGCCCTGCCATCGGCGGTCTCGATTACCGGAGAACCGGTTTGATGTGGGGAGTTGCGGTGCTTTGTTAGTTGGAGAGAGAGAGAGAGATGGAATGCAGATGGGCGATGGCAGAGCAGAAGGGATGGCTGTCGAAATCCAACCGCCGCTCCCTGATTTGCGGGGCGACAGTGTACATATATGAAGAGACGCCGCGATGCGGCCACCTTTGTCCTGCGGGCCTTTTTATTCAACTTTATCACCCCAAAAGTGCGGTTAATAGTAGGGGGTGAACAAATACACCCGCAAATTGACCCACCAGTCCAATCCGATTCAACTCACCCGTATTTGTCGTTATAACTAAGGTTTTGGGTTGGGTGAGGGTTTTATTTTGTACAATCCGCCTCTTTTGGGTTGGATTTGGATTTTGGATTACACAACCCGTCGAACCCGACCCAACTCGTGTTCCAACTATTAGTATGAGTTCGTGTACAAAAAATATTTATGTCGTATATAGCCATACTTATAAGAAAATTAAGATATTTTGCCATGTTTTTCTCCCATAGTTTCCCTAATCTAATGCATTCATCGGCTTAAAATTTAGACATAGATTTAACATAGCTATGATTCACGTAATCCTTTTTCTTGTATAACAATTTTAATAGAATAACATATTATGGATGTGTTTGTTTATAACCTATTTAGCCTATTTAAACAAATATTGTGAAAAAAACTATAGACATATGCTTTTTTTTATCCAAGATAAGCCCCGGGGCATGGCCGGACAACAAGATACAAAATACAAAATAATAAAGAACAGTAGTCCGTATGCAACCGGACTCCCGATAAAAGAGCCTGTTATGCCACAAGTGGGCAGCTCTATGAAAGCTCCAAGGAGCGAAAAGACACGAAACTGACACGAGGACAGGAAGAGAGAAAAAACTTCCCTGTAAATGGCTCCGGCTCCGGGAAGGGAAGACTTCCTCGATGGATCCATGATGATCAGTAGAGAATCCACACAACATGTGACAATCAATACATTATTAGTAAGATACCATCTCGTAGCATTGCTAAGGACAAGTAATTTTGATATATAAACATTGATAATATCATAATAGGATTTAACAAAAACAATTGAAAGAGTTCCATCACCTTAGAAGTCGATGGAGTCTGTGGATATTCTTGAGAATTCTTTGGTATGACTAAATCACCATGGAAGAGGTAAACTCGAGACTAGCTTTGTGTCACAACTCACAATTTGAAGATGCGCTGGACCAAAATAATTGAACAGAAAAAATAATGAAAGAAGAAAAAAAAAAATACTAACGTGAAACAGAAAGTAAAATAAAATAAAAGAAGAAAGGCCGAGCCTACAAGAAAGCAGGAAGTTAAAATGGTAATCTGAACTGCGGAAAAAAAAAACTAAACTAAAAATGATAACAATCACTGGAAGTAAAATAAAAATTAAAACAAAGGAAAATGAAAACGGGAATTTAAATCAAATCTAATCAAATAATAAAGACCAAAACAATAAGGGGAAGTGGAAAGCCTAACCTCTCCAGCAAAGAAAGCATCTAATTAATCAATAGTCAAAAGAGAAATTAAAACAAAACAAAAAAGGAAAACCGTCAAGCTAATTAAAGGGAATAGGAAGAAGGAAATAAAGTAATAAAAATCAAGATAATTGAAGGCTTAATTAACGGAATTCAAAAATACCAGCGCAATCAAGGGCTAGCTCCACCACCGGCGGTCACCACCCCTCGTCGACGGCATAGGGCGTAAAGTACCGACTGCAAAACTGATTGCTATCAACAGCAGTTACCGGTTCGTCGGAGCTTTGTTGGGAAACAGAAATCAATATTGATGGCCGGAACCACGCCAGCAGCTAGCCGTGGATCCATGAAACCAAGCGATCCAAGGTGATAGGCATAGGAACGATGCCACCATATTCCAGCCTTTAACAGAGGATCTTATTTAATAGAAAACCATTAGGTTAGATGATGTTTAAACTTGGCCATGGAGACCATGTTATTCAAGACGACATGCGTCTTATTAAGAAAACATAGTAAAAGAGCTCTGTATTGGATACACTGGCAAAATCCAGCCATCAATGGCGCCCCGTAAGTTGCCGAAGTCTTCCTCCGACGAAGTCGATCAGGGGCACCGATGGTTCTTCATCTCTTGAGATTTCAACCATCTCAAATACCCAATTATTGATTGAAATCAGCAGAATGTTTGATTAAGCTAATCAGAATCGGGTTTCGGAAGCCCCGATCAGCTCAATTGAGCTCCACCAAATCTAGAAATGAACCCCAAACAAACGAGCTTAAGTAAGAAGAAACGGATCCACGGATCATCCCTAATCCTTCTGCCGGAAGCTTATTCCCAGCAGCTAATCCAATTTTTTGAAAAATGAAAAGCACCAAGTAAAACTATAACAAGGAGGGAAACAAAGCTGAGACCGATAACAGAACCAGCAGAGCTCAAAGCAAGAAACAGAAGAGAGCAATCGATTCATTTCTATCAGAGGATCGATCAGTTCCACAACCTAACCGTCTATAGACATATTTTATTAAAATTCAAACAACATTTGTGAATTTCGATACCTTTCACACGGTTTATTCTTTTGAAATTTTAATTAGTTATAAAAATATTTTTATGGTGTAGAATAATTATATATTTAGTGTTGGGTTGGGTTTTTACTTAAAAATATCGCCAACCCGACCCAATCCAATTGAAAACAAACCGTAGGATTTTAATTTTTTTGGTTGAGTTTGGGTTTAATATTTTCCAAACCGTAGTGCATGGGTCGGGTGATTAAAATGACTAAACCCGAACCACCCGACCCATGTACACCCCTAGTTAATTGTCCAACCAATCTAACTTACTCATGAATTCCAGGAAAAAATCCAAAACTAACACTATTTTAAAAAAAAAAATTACAAAAATACCACTCATTCCCAAGAATTTCCAAAAATACCACCATTTATTAAAAATTGCTCCACTAAGGGACGGTCAATACAGAAACCGCACAACCAGGCCGCGATTTACCATAGAATCGCCTGGTCAATAAGCGGTTTGCCTATTTTGGCAAAAACGCTCTTCCAAAGAGCGGTTTACATGGCTGCCCTACGACAAAACGCTTCCTCAGGTAGCGGTTACATGTCGGCATGGTAAAACGTTCCGCAGAGAAGCGGTTTACCATGTCGACACATAAACCGCTCCCCCACCAGCGGTTTGTGTCTGGTCACCCGACATCCGACATGTCGGCATGCAGGAGGTTGCAGGGGTGGGGGCTGCATGCCAGACTAACCCCCCCTGCGGTTTGTAGTGTAAAATTTTCCTATAAAAGGCAGGTCCATAAAACTAAAAATCTTCACTCCACTCCTCCTTCTTCTTCAAATTTCAGTTGTGCACCTTTAAATTATTTAGTTTTTGCGATTAACGTTAATTCATAAGTTTGTTTTGTATTACTTTTCATTGTCCTTTGTGATTTTTATGTTAGTAACTTAATTACAGTTTTATTGCAGATGGCATTCCAAAGGTCACGCTTGGGTTGCGGTGGAATGGTTACACGAAAGAGACCGACAAGGATGTAAGTTACGTGGGTGGCAATTTTTATAAAATGAAGGTTCGTACGAGACCGATGCTTGAAGAGCTCCATCAAATGTGCACTCAGATTACCTGCATGGATAGCACTAGGAAAGTTGATCGTATTGTGTATCGATATCCAAACAGACATGGCGGGTCGCTGTGGAATGAGGAATTCCTCCTTACCACTCAGGAGGACGTTGATGCCATGGTCCAATTTTTGACCACCAATAAAATTAAAAAAGCGGAGATGTTCGTTTCACCGAGGCGGTCGAAGGCGGTGTAGGTCATTCTAGAGATAGCCAAACATCTTGTATCCACGGTGGGAGTGTATTATACGAAGATCATCTGATGTGACCAAAGTACACAGCTTTCCTACTTTTTATGGGTTTTCGAAGCTTTTCTCCAACGAACAAGAACTCGAACAAAAGATAATGATGGAACACGATCAAACAGATTCCAACTCGTGTGAAAGGCCAATTGGTATATGAAACCAATCAAACAATCACCCACTCGTGAATAAGGCCAATCGCTATTGGGTAGAAGCTCGCCACAACTAGACGCGTTCTCTAGTTGATAAGAGACACGTGAAACTCCTGGAGCACTCTCAACAGAAGCTTGCACAAAGAACTAGTTCGTATAAACTTGTAACTTGAAAGTTGATTGATAATTGAATATTGGGTACAAAATTCGTAGCTCTTACATCCTCTATTTATAGAGGTCTCAAAAACATAAAACTAACCTAAAAGGAATAGGAAAACAAATCCCAAACTAACTAGGAAACATAATACTACTTAAATAAGGACTATAACTCGTTTTATGACCAAAGGAAGCTCCTTAGCATCTAAGTAATCTCCAAACACGTTTTAAATGCTTAAGGAAGCTCCTTAGTGGTTAAGCAATCTCTTTCCTTGCCCTTTTCACATTTGGAGGACTTGGGCAGCAAGGATGGACGTTTTGGGCTCCAAGAAATGTTGTAGGCCCGATCCTTAATGCATTCTCCATTTTATCCATCAAGAATGCTCCTAGTTGATTCTTAAATCGTCGAATATGAATCTTCATTTTTGGACCACGGGAATTAAATATCGCGCTAGTCGATATCACATCATTCCCTCTCTATTGAAGAAGATTTGACCTCGAATCTTTACAGAATCTTGATCTCCGATCACCGCCATTCTTCTTGGTCTTCCAACAAAATTTGTCTTGGTAGTGAGGATTGTATTATTCCCCCCTTCTTGAAGACAACTCGACCACGAGTTGTAAAGACACCATTGTGATGAAAGCTCTCTACATAGCGCTGAATTTCTTGTCGATTCTCCAAGCGGGCTGCCTCTTCAGAAATTGCATTACCAATCACAAAATCAATATGAGCATACTCAGGAACTATTGGTAAATGTTCCATAATTACCAAGCATTGATCTCCTCCTTTGAATTCTGGTTTCTCATTAAATTGATCAACTTCTTGCGCACTCAAATCTTCAACAGCAACAAGAATATCTTCTTTCACCTCTTTTGCCTTTTCTACTTCTTCTACTTCAAGTTCTGGTTCTTCTTGAGATGAAATCAAAGCTTGTGAATCCTCTTCACAAGTAACTATAGTAAGCCCATCGACAAGAACCTCTTCTTTCTCTTCCACGTCTTCTTTGACTTCCTCTACGTTGGCT